TTTCCAAGTGTAGCTGCAAATTTGCATTTCCCATCTACTTTGATCAAGTTAGAATGGTCCAATGTTTAGCAAAGTGCGTTATGTCGTCAGTGTTGAATTGGTTGCTGGTGCACTTAGGGAATTGCATGAATTCGTACGACCGCATTAGGATCTAATATTTAATCTGCATAATGGTAGGTTCGCGATTTTGTGACTCATGCCGTTAAATGCAAGTATAAACTGTGAAATTTAGGAGTTGAGAGCAAAGAGTTGCTTGAAAACATTTGTTTCCAAAGAAGTTAAATTTCGGAGCCTTGGCGTATGGTACAAGGTCTACCGCAACGATAAAGATGAAGGTGGTTCATTGTCTATGTATACTTCCATACCTTCTAACAAGCAGAACTGCAGAAGAGTCATCGGTGTTTGCATAAAACAAGAGGTTTATAATCCAACTTAAAGTTTGATAAATTTGTGTTAACTGAATTGTACAAGCGAAACTTTACAATCGCATAAAGCATATTTACCTGAGTGGATTTGAGTGGTGGATGACCCTGGTCCTCCACAACAAGCCCCAAGCAGTAAGAACCAAGTTCTTTGCTGGATAGTCTACGTACTAAAAGGAGTTTTCCGGTTCTCTCATCTATTCTGAATGTGTGAAGAGGAAATCGTCGAAACTCTGTTTCATCAGTCTCCTCTCCCTCATCGTCTAGATTGTGGTCAAACCTTGATCTCGGTACGCTTGGAGGCGTACAGTTAGCAGCAAGATTCAAAGAATATCGCAATTCTGCATTTTCACCCTCATCCAAATCGGCGGCTTGAATTAAGAGTGCACAGTAGCCAGGAGCCTCATTTACCGATATTCGAAGACTGGGTAACTCGTAGGAGGCTAGAGAGAATTGTGTTTCAAAGGATTCCACGGCGGAAAATGGTGGTTTCTGCAAGAGTGAATCCCTTTCGTAACCTTAAAAAGGATCACACAATTGTACCTTATAATAGGTCGCAGTTTCAAAAAATATTCCCATATTTCCCATTACCTGGCTTATCCAATTCACTTTAAGCGTTAGTAATTAACTGTGCCAGCATTTCCAATGAGTTGAAGCTTATTGAAAATCGATGACGGCTAGTTAACGCTGTTTGATATTGAGGCTGAGTACAAATGTGCGTCAGTCCTGTGACTCTTCTTACCCCACAAAAAATTGCATAAAATGCGCTATTTTTATTTGTTTAATGAATCATGATCCCTAATCATGGTTTATGGTCAAATTCATGCATACGCCAAAACAAAAATTCGAAATTCACTATTTTGTGACTAGCGAAATAAAAGTGCTCGTTCAGGATTGGTCAACGAGCGGACAAAATGCGCGCTTTTGCCTGCCTGAATGCAAATGATAGGAGACTCAAAGGAAAGGAAAAGAACTAAGTGGTGCATTTGAGAGCAAATCATGTTTGATAGCAAAACACAAGCTGATGGACAATGTCGCTGCCTCTTATTCTTGGGCAACAATTCCTCTATCACAGTAAAAGAAAAGTGCCATCTTTGGACAGCTGTCTGACTTTTCCGCTCAGAAGGATGCAGCAGGAAATGGACAAGGGATGCGACGCTGCTGAGGGTTATATGAAGCAAACAAGAATAAATTGCACTCGAGATTTTGACCTTTTTTATGAAGCGCACGTAATTATAATGCAGCGAAATCTGTGATTGCAATAAAATAACCTTAATAATATTACAATAACTGATAAGTTGGTACATTCTAATTTAGAACGGCTATCGGCAGTAGCGTCTCCAATGCCTGCATATAAGATTTCACTTCATAAAATAATACGACTATTCGGAAAAGAGTGATAGTGACACCTACGTGCATCTGGACCCTCGATGGAATGTATAATGGGAGAGTTGTCGTTAACATCGAGAATATTAACACATACTCGCGCTGTTGACGACAATGATGCATCTGGAGAGTTGTCTTTCGCCTGAACTTGAAAGCAATACCTCGACTGCAATGAGAAAAAAACCTTGGTTACTTCAATACCTTAGCTTTCTTAAGTTGAGGTGCGTTGTGTACAGACCAATTTCAAATGTTAAATTATTAAAGCTACAAGTCTCCCTTTTACGTGTAACATGATTTATCTCACTGCCTGAGTAGTTAGCTTGTGTTGCGGTTAAATAGACATGCAAACGGTGGTCATAGACATGTTTATTGATGGCGTCTTATATTGGGCAGGAGCATTACCTGACCACGTCATTCACTCACCAAAACTTGGCGAATGTGTTACGGAGCCACAAATCAAGGCACACAGCCCTACCGGTATTGCAACAAATCCGCTCTTTAAAGTTTGTTCGCTGCACATTCTTCGTTTAAGATAACTTTAATCACTATTCCTTCGAATCACACATTTAAAAATTTAAGTCAGTGGACATCACTGTAAGCGTACCGCGGCGGATCAACTGAAAGTATCAACTAAAGTGCGTACCGAGTTTGTATAGGTTTAAACGCTGGGTTATATGAAAAGCATTCGACTTCAACCCTAAAAAACAGAGTTACTGACTTCACAGTAAATCTAAACATTTATATACGATGCCAAAGTTCGCACTCATCTATTAACAATAGATGCCCCTTTTGGGGGTAGCAAAATCACTTTGAGATTCGCTTTTTAAATCCCGAATCGCATAAATACGTCTTGCCAAAATTAGCTCTGAAGTAATTCGCAAATGCTCTATTATTATACCCACGACTTTTCATTGAAGTTCCACTGTTCTTACCAGTTCTCAAAAAAATGTTGGGCGCTGAGTCGTTACTAGGTATTTTCACTTATATTTCGGTAAAATGAAACGTGACTGCACTCGTCCGCATCAATGACGATGCAGGATTCTTTGATGCATTGTGAGCTAAGCTGTTAGTTGAAGGGCCCGAGGCATTACCGCTCTCTAAAAATAAGCCTACTTATGCAAAGTATATGCAAGTCTTTTTTGATTTGCCTTTATCATGATGAACAACAAGAATTAATTTGACTCAAGGAAGTAGAATTTATAAGGATTGTTTACGAGCCTCTTTTGAATTACTCTTCCCATTATTGCACCGAGAAGGAAAGTAATTCAGCTTTTGATCGTATGCACTCCGAGCGCACAGATTTACCTGTACCTTTTATAACATCATTTAGTGCATAAGCCCTAACAACACTTTACTTAGGTCTACCCTTGGTAGCGTGGTTTATTCTCCGCATATTAAAAATGTGATAACAAAACTAAAGCACAAATGCATATAACAGCACACGAGACTGGTTAGCTAAGTGCTCTGAAATGGGACTGACTTGCGTTTCACGATCGAATTGCCGTGTAGAAAAGATGCTCCCATTCGGAGTCATGCGAAAGCCCATGACTTGCTTGAGCTGTGGACCATTGAATACAACTCGTGGATCGTCGGGAGCAATGTCAAAGGTAACTTCACCATTGACGCCAGCATCGAGGTCCGTTGCCATCACTTGTCCAACCATGAAACCGGGTTCCTTGTTCTCAGGCAGAATGAGTTCTCCAGTCTCTTGAATTAGGGGTGCATGGTCATTAACATCGATTATACGTACTGTCACCACTGCTGTGGAGACTGATTGGTGGTCTACTCCGAGGATCTCCAAGGGATTTTGGCTGGCATCATAGACCACGACTTGCAACTGCAACAGGAAATACAGTGTTCTACTCCATTTTCCTTTAACCTAGTTCTGAGTAAATAATCCTTGAAGCACCAAAATAATTAGAACTGATAAGAGATTGAATGAAGATAAAACGGAAGTATGTAAAATTTTACTCACTTGTTTAACTAAGACATTGAGTAATTTGCGTATCTATCCCAAAAGCCAGCATCTTCATAAATAAAATATGTTGACAAAGTGCTCTGTTTTGAACCTTTGTCGTTATTTTGAACTTAATCTATTCGCCCGTTTTCTGCCCCTCCATGAGTGGGTGTTGGATGCACGAGCGTGGTCTTTGCAGTATGAATGGGTTGACCAATCAAATCTACCTCGTGTGTAAACAGTTGAATTCTCAGCTAGCAGCGCATGCTAATGTGACTCTGCAGACCGCCAAATTCCCAATCCCATCCTTAAGCACGTGCAGCTCCAATTTGTTAACTCTTCGAAGCAATAATGATGATGCCTTATGCATTTTTGATACTCAAATCCTACTCTCAAAAAAACCTTGCTAAGAAATGAACCAAATTTCTGGTTTAGCATTAGAGCGTCCGCGAAATGCAACTTTGAAAATCCAAATCCATTTCGCACTAGATGCCTAGGGTTCGTAAGACAATCGTCTCGTCTTTTCTCCACAAAATACTCTTAACTCAGCTTGAAATCTTTTCTTGATTTGCGTGTGCGTGGACGCCTTTACCGATTCTCGGGTATTTAGGATTTTTTTATTGATGTGTTACTTGTGTGAAGGAGAATAAAAAACATGTTTTAATAAAAGTAGTCATAAATTTAAGTTAAACGCATCAAGTAGAACAGATTTTATTGTCCTTTCAACCAATTTGATTTTACAATCATCAACCGAAATGTCGAATGCAGATGTTCTGCAATTCAAGAATTTATTGGTCTTCAACCGATAAACTCATTAAAAGTGCTCGGAGTTGGTGAACACAATGTTACGGTGGCTCCGTGAGTCAATGCTCGTTCCTCTAAGATAAAGTAAATACACCTGATGACGACAGACTTGGAACAAATGCCACAAGTTAAAAACTTTATGCGCTTACAGCAATCCGTCGCTAAAGTTCTTATACTGGATCATCCCAGCCTCATCAAAATAGCACATGCAGCCACCTACCAAACTTGTTTGTGCTGACGATCGTCGCATGTTCTGAGGCGCACGAGGGATGGCTCCACCGTCAATCTACTGCAAACTCGACACTAATCGCTCTTGCAACAAATTCGCCTGCCTGCAAATTGCATAAGCTTACAGCTGTTTTATGATTTTATTCGGCCACGTAATTGTTTTTATTACGGAGAGTATTCGCACAAAGGCTATTCGCCGCATTGCAACAAAAAATTGTTTGAAGTCGTAACAACTGCTCTTTCACTGTTTAACCTAAGAGCTACTGTTTTTGCCATAAGAAACGTGCTAAAACTAATGCTCGCTGATTTACAAGAAACTCGACCGGACATGGTTATGCGATTGCATCTCTTGAGACATCCATCGTAAGGTTTAAGAATGCATCTTCTTCATACTCTACGAAGGCGATATTCAGACGATCAAATCTTGACCTCCTGATTCTCTTTGAGTTGTAATTAGCGTTTCCACACAATACAAATACAATTTTATAAGCTACCGCTACTCCCAAAGCGTTCGACACTGGGACATTTGCGAGACTCCATACAGTTTTGGTTTACCCGGTTACTACTTATTTATCAAGTGTAAATCAGATTTCGATCTGTATAAATATTGTGATATTTTTTTAAAAAAAAACATTTATTTACTATATTGTTGGTGTGATTAGAATGTTCGAGCATCTATTCAAACATCGGCGTGATTTTGACGGTTGGGTTGTCCTCCGAGTTACTCTACTTCATTGAAACAAAACAAGGGTCCCTTTTGGCGCTTAAAAATCATTTATACCTCATCTTCCTAATGTCAAAGTCTTTTACGATAAATACAATAGGCGTCACCTTTGTCACGATAGGTGTCGAAAAGTAGTAGCAGTGCTTGTTCACCCCTCTCAATTGTACAGGCTCTGGTCCAGAAAACTGTTAAGGTTGCAGTGAATGAACTCTTGGTAGGAAGTTTCATGGCCTTCAAATTAGTGTGATTGATGCTAAACTTATTAAATTAAGGTCTAGACACTCATGAAAGGCATTCTTTACGATAAAAGGCCTTTAACACAATGCCGTTCATCCATTTTACCAACCTTTGTACAAGGCAGTGACGACAGGCAGGAAAGGCTGGTCAATATGCACAATGCGAATTAATTTCCGCGCCTTCCAATTAAGCAACTTTTGACGGTCTTCAGCAGTTCGATTGCAATAAGTGTTTCATGAATGACAACTGTGGTAGTGCATTTAATACGACTAGAACCAAATTCCCAAGGTCTTCACATAAAACTTTGAATTTTGAAAGGAGTTTGTTGTGTAACCTTCCAGTGTCAGACGCGAAGTGATGCTATCTTTACAAATATAAACAGTAAAAACCGTTCTCACGTGATAGATGTCTCTAGTTTCCCTATCAAAGCGAGTCATTGCGTAAAGGCGACCTGTCTCCTCATTTAGGTAAAACAGAGAGGCATCTTCATTCTCGTCTGTCAACCGATACCGCGTGATGGCATTCTCCTCAGTGTCATAGTCTTTTGACGTAAGCTGAAACGAAAATGAAATGTGCGGTGAATAGCTTTTCAGTGTCCATTGACAGTGGTAATGATAAACGACCAAAATGTCCCTTTTGTGGGTGGAAGGGAATAAATACTTCTCAAAACCTACAACTAATCGCAGTGACTAAAATACAGAAGCGTTTATACAATTTGCAGCTGGAATGTGCGCTTAGCTAAAACCCATAACGACTGACAAGGCGGTATCCTTTATCGATGCCAACGTATCCCAGACAAATTCAAGGGTCTTTTATAATGGCACACCTCAAGAACCGACTATGGTACACTTAAGTTTGGGCTTCGGTTTTATCTGCGAGATGTGTGGCGAAAACTGCACGCGTTTTAGTGTGCAATGTAGGCAGTAGTAGCCACAATTTGTCCATTGTTTAAATTGGCGAGTTATCCACGCTACGCCCGTTTCCGTTTTGCATGGGAACCAATGGCGAGAGTTTGTGCAGATCTCAAAACTTATTTAACATTAGGGGGTTTGCAAAGCATTTACAAGGATTAGTATCCAGCGCTGCAATTCGGAAGTTTTATAATTATGGCACTAGCAGCTATTGGACATGAACTAGCTTGCTTGATTTTAACCCGAATGGTTGAATTCGTCCATTCGTCCTTAATATACGCTGACAAGAAGGCCATCAGTTTCTCAATTAGATGTATAAATTAAGGTCTTTTGCACTTGAGCTTATTGTGCAAATTAGTTGAATTAATTTAAGTTTATCATTTAACAACTTAGCTATTCCACTACAAATGCGTTCCATGCAAGATTGCATAAGCAAGCACTGGATGCAAGACTCAAATACCTTGACCTAGTATTAATAGAGTTCTACCTTTCTTCTCAACTTTTTAAATAGCATGCAAAAAAGATTGTAGTGACAGGTTATTTCAAGTGTTCTGCCCTTCATACTTCACCTAAAAATGGTATTTTTCACAAACCATAATTTACAAATAGGTTTTCTTCAACCTTAAGGCTTTTAAAACAAGTGGCAAAGTCTTGAATCTGCTGACGCATAAACTGTGCAGATGTCTGCAACAAAGAGGATCCGTACTTGCAATATCTCCTTCCTTATGTCACTGTTCTCCTTTAACTCAGCACTGAATGCGGACTGTGTGAAAATGGGAGCGTTGTCATTTCTATCCTGGACATGGATGGACATGGTGAGGGTTGAGGTGAGACGGGCCATTTGGTTCCCACTTGCAGTGGAGCTATCGCCGTAGGTCGTCTCCGTCATCTCTGCACCGCTACCACCGCCTCCGCCATCCCAGCAGATCAAACGAGCTAGTCGAACAGGCGCACCGTCCTCACGGTCAAGGCTGTGACGCGTGTAGAGGTCAAAGTGCAATTCCGGCACTGCTGTTGACTCAAGTGGCGACCGCATCGGTTCTGCCCGCCTCTCAAAGCGAAGTGGCTGTTGTCCCGCATCCTCTGCAGGCTCTGCGCACTCCAGGTAGCCATTCACCGCAAATGTGTCTGCATCACGGACGACCACCTAACACAAAGTTTGCATTTTGGTAGCAACCAAATGACATTTTCTCTCATCATTTATTTTTCGGACGTTATGCTGTAATTAATCCCAAAATTTTCACAAATTGATATTTTAAGAGCTTTCAAACATGAGATACGCAACTTTATTATGCACATCCGGCAGCCCCCAACTGAAAACTAACCTAATCAGTATCCAGAGTATTTATCACTTCTGGCAAAATTGCTGAAGACAATTAGAGTTATGCATAAAAGTAAACTTGCTACAGTTACCTGTTACTGAATGCGTACATTGAGAATGGGTAGTTTTGCGTTTCAATATGTTGATTACTAGCATATACTACCAATACATAATACAAGATTGAGGCGATTTTCATGCTTTAAGCATTGCCACACACACTAATTTTAAGGTCATCAAGTGGTTGCGAATGGATGCATGAAAGAACGGAAACAACTGCACAATGGCTTAATGATATCTGAGCAAAACTCGGTCTACCCAACCTCCAACTCAAAGCATCTTGACCATGATTAGTTGCATTCATTTTTCTGTTCAGTTTTAAATCAACTAAAATTCTTACTGCACATTAAAAGGTGGATTTAGCTCCAAGTTCCAATGTTTCGAAATACTCTGCAGAGAATAGACAGTCCAGTACAGTGAAAAAAATATCGGCAAACAAAAGCTGTGGATGCTGTCTGTGTCCGTGTTGGACTGGCCCCTATTTGTACTTCCTGATGCTTCAATTTCGCTATTTCTCTCATTTCGGAGATGAAGGAAAAATTTCACTAAGCAATTTTACAAACTTCCTTGCTTTGACGTGGGTTTAACACCGCTATGCTGTACATTCGAAAAGACCAATAAAATATGATTTTTCATCGAGTACTATACTACTTTCGTCCCATATAGGATATTAAAAGGGAACGAATTTCCCTCCTAAGTACCATGATTTTTTGTAAACAAGTTATAGCCATCCACCTGAATGTCTTGTTGAATGCGTAATTTGAGTTGTTTCTGCTGCTGATGCATTCATTTAAGCCATTCAGTCATTTTGTTCCCTCATTCTAGAACCTATAAACCTCTCAAGCCTCAGAGTACCTCTACGGCGTGATTGTAGCCATGGAGTTAATGAAGCTCTAAGTTAGTGCGACATGATACATTTAATTGTGCTAGGCTGAATTATTGAAGCAACTTCGTTATCCCCTCACCGCCACACGCATTAATTCATCTCTAACAATAGAAGACAAAGTACTATTTACGGCCGTAAGCACTCATAATCTTGTTAAAATGATGGAGCCCAATAGAAGCAGTGGTTGCTGCATTTATTGCAGTGGATTCCACTTTAGCTGCTGCATCGCCCCACCAATGTGATATTTGCATAACATAAAATTGCACAATCCTTGCAAATGGGATCAAACCTGGCCAATTAGGACATTGGGCGGCTGATTTTCCTCAACCGCCAGGTGCGTTGGATTAACTATGAAAGTGGGTGCTTCATCATTGATATCAAGAAGACGAATGTGAAGGCGAGTCGAAGCAGTAAAGTCTCCATCACTTGCTCTAATCGGCAGATTATAGTCGGTGCGTTGTTCAAAGTCGAAGCTCTCACGTAGACGCACTTTCCCATCAGGTTCTACGTCAAAAGGGGCTGTCGCATTCATCCCTGGTGCGGAGTTGATCGAGTAAGTGAGGACCGCATCGGCGTCACGATCAATTGCTTTCAACTATATAAGGGAGAGAGTTGTCGCCCTCTGAACAACTTTCGGGACCAACGCATTAACCATCAACTGTCATTTTATCATAGCAAACAAGTCGAAGATAATTAGTCACAAATTGGCCGTTTCCGAAAAATTTAATAAGTGCTTTTTTCACAAGTTGTAGCATGAAGCAGCGGTTTAATTTGCGAACTGAGGCTCACGTCCCAGGAATAGTGTAGCTCTTCTATCACTTCTAACGGACACTTATTTTTTTCATAAACACGAAAAGAATTGTATCGCTCCTTTGTATCTCTCTTTGACATCCTTATGTTTGATTCCCCGTAATAGAGATTCGAGGTACGAGGAAACGTATTATTGTTGTTATTGTTACGGCATATCTGCTACTACCAGCCTTTTGACCTTCACCTTGTATGTTCGTCCTGCTTGCTAAAAACAGTCCTCTCATTTGGAATCTAACATTTTAAGCAAATTAACCACAGTTTCCTTAAATTTCAGTTATTGATAATTCAATCCTGGTAGAATGTATGGTGACGTGAATGCTAACTTACCTCGATAATAACCATTCCCGGTTGAATATCTTCCGGGACTTCAACCGAATAAATTGACTGGGGAAATACTGGCTCCATATCATTGATATTCAGTACCTGAATAACAATTGGAAGCTGTGCTTCCTGGATAACGGTTTTTGAACTATCTGACTGTAAATCTGAATTGCATGCCACCAACGAAAAGGCATACTCCTTTGCGTCCTCATAATCCAAATCTTCTTTTAGCACCAAAAGAGGCCGCGAATCATTTGTCACGCTCATCTCCACCATCTTCATGGATGCCCATTGACTAGTAGCAAATTCTAGCCGGTAAGTGATAGAGGAATACTTTGGGGTCACGTCCTTATCCACCGCTCGAGGCAGCTCTATTGTTTTACCCTTTCGATAGATTACTTCCTTTAGGCACAGGACAAAGGGTCTTGGAATGTCTTCGGGAAACTCCACGCTATTGTCGTCCACATCAATCACTTGAATTCTTACGTGAATAAATGCTGTCAGTTTCCTCTCTTGCCACACGTTGACTGTCACGCTTAGGTAGGCATCAAGAGTGGAACGACATTGTCCAATGCACAGTTGTTCGAAGTCAACAGTCGACTTTGTCGTGAGCATGGCAGTGGTCTCGTCCAATTCCAAATGGAATGATGGTTCTCGAAGGCGGAAGCGCAAATCTTTGCATGCACCACCTCCACCACAGAGTCGAGAAAAATTTAACACCTGCTGGCGTCTGAGATCGTCATCGAGGTAACCGACACGATAGCCGCTAGGCTCGTTCTCGCGGATGGTATAGTGGAGGTGGAATTGAAGCTGCTCACATTTGCTCAATGATAACAGGAAGATGGCCGAAAAGAGGAAGAGGATCCCTTGCATAGCTAGGATTAGTTTTGCAGATCTTTAATTACGCAAAGTAGGTTAAACGCGCTTAAATTCTGTAAGAGGTCTCATTTGCCCTATGCTTTGTACTCTAGTCATCATATGCCTTTTAAACATTCCATTCTACTTTTGACTGGATTTGCACTAACTGTTTTGTTATTATTTTTCAGTGTATCAAGTGATTTGGATAGACATAGCTTGAATTCTCCAAAGGAACTGAAGGTGCCATTCAATGCATCTACGAGCCAATTCGTCCATTTAAGCAATTATTGGTGTTTGCTGCTAAAAAGAATGCCCAAAACACATCCGTCTTGATTATAATTAATTTTGATTAGCTAACAAATCATTTCACTAATTTTTTCGAGGCCCTCATTTGACTCTCCACTTTTTTCCCATTTGAGTAGTGTCAAAAAACGAGGCGATTCAGCACATTGAAAAGGTGTCTTTGAAAAATTTGCCATCCATCAAAATGTGCTTTTGGGTTAGATGTCGCGGAAAAAAAATAGAACGCGTTTACGCCAAGCCAGTTAGGTGGAATGTCACAAAACTATTTCGTTCCACACTTCGCCCTTCGATTTGCACAAACCTCTGCCAAAACAAACGCATTTTCTAGTAGGGGGAGTGGTTTAACGACATTCGATATTCTCTGCGAAACTGAAAGAAGGTTTTAGTTGGGGTGAGAAAGTTTTGGCAACCGGATTATAAGTTGAGGTTAACAGTTGATGCTTTGCGGCTCTGTGACACAGCCATTTTTAAGTAGCTATAGACTTATACTCACCGCAAAGCAGACAACGGTGGGAGCACGTGTCTCGGGACGAGTTGTCCTGGTGGTGTGCGTGTGTGCTTAGACCAGGGCAAGTGGCTGCGGTTGGCCAGGCCTGAGAGTGGCAGAGATGATGGTAGCTGACTTGTGGATTCTGGCAGGGAACTCAACTGTCCGTGCTTCGAGAAATAGTCATTCTCCTCCTCATGCCAGCTTGTATCATTGGTCCGATTCTCTGTAGGTGTAGCCAATCAGAAGATGGGGAGTATCAATGCATCCCAGGAGTAACTGCATTACTCCTGTGTGTCTGGGCAGAATGCATTTCCTGCCCGTTTGTAGGATATAGAGATGTGTGACTATTTGCTTGCAAAAATGACGCAAAATGTTCGACACATCAATGCTAGCAAAAGGATGCTTATAAAACTTCTTAAAATCCGCTCTCATTATCTCCA